AAATCAAATTGACAGCCTCCTATTTTGAAGTCGGTTAAAAAGGATCATACATCATATCATACATTAGCGACCCGCCCCGGCTTCGTACGGGTGCAATATGCATGTATTATACATATAAACCTTCCTTACGAATCACTATTTCCATTAAAAAACCGCATCAAAATCCGTTGCGTAGTTTTAAAGATCTAAGCACACATAGGGACAGACAGACGGCGGATAGCGACTTTGTTTTATACTATGTAATGATGATACATTCATATTATCAAATATAATCAAAGAGTGTTAAGTTATTATAAATGCATATTAACATTCGTACAAAAATATAACGTCTAACGGATTAAATATTAGCTAGCCAGATCATTATTTAAACTGAAATAACACACCTTTGTTACATTAGATACCTGGTACGAATAAGGAAATGATATGTGACATTTAATACTTATTTTAATAGGTAAGTAAGTGTCGCGTTGTTTGAATGGTCGTAAGTACGACTGCTAAGCAATACGTCTTCTTGAGACCAGTCCCATGTATACATATGTCCCATGGGAGTTGGGACCGCCCGGGTGTCATCACTGCGAGGACCGCCCTGAGGACACGGTGGAACACACAGTGGGAGAATGCCCTGCGTGGGCTGAGCACTGCCGTGCCCTCAGGGAAGTGATCGGCGATGGCGACCTCTCGCGTCCGGGCCTAGTGCGGGCCATGATGCGGAGCCAGGGGGACTGGGATGCCGTCTCCTCCTTTTGCGAAGCAGTCATGCTAGCTAAGGAGGAGGCGGGACGCGTGAGGCAGCGTAGCGCTGCCTCCTCGCAACCCAGCCATCGCGAAGGACACACCGGGCGTCGGGGATCGCGGGACGATCTCCGGCCACCGTAAGCGCGGGACTGCGGACGGCGAGCATGGGTGGCTCCCCGTCCGACCAGAAACAGACACGAGCGTACGGCACGTCGCGTTCCGCGCGCGCCTCAAAGAGCCATCAGACCACCACAGATGGGGCCCAATAGGGCTGTTGCCGATTTGGAGTCGCGGAGAACCTAACGGGTAACCGGGGCTCCGGCTCGACATGCAGGAGAAGGAACGGGGTGGTTTTTAGTCAGTAAGAGTCTGACACTCCCTCCCGCCTCACCCAGGCGGGAGCAGTCATTCGATGATTTTCCCCCCTTAAAAAAAAAATGGGAGTTGGGACTCGTAACATTACTGCGAATGCGTTGAGAACAAAAATTCGTGAAGACATCGTAAAAGTATAATAGTCACCTACTTATCATCGAACTCTTGTTTGATTACCTTGTCTTACATTACATAACTTAATATAACATCACGCCTTTTATCCCCTGAAGGTTAGGCAGAGATGTACATTACGGCACTTAATGCCATTGTACATTGTAATCTGACATTACAATTACGAGTTATATATTTTTATTACAACATTTTAATTAGGCAGTTGTTATTTAATACTTCCTGGTTGAACTGTCTGTCTGGTTGTGTCTATTTGTGAAGATTTGTGATTGATGAAGGTCGCAAGGCGTGGCTGCATGGATGCAAGTCGGTTATACCAGGCAATCTTGGAGTCACTGGGAAAGACTCATGTTCTGAAGCAGTGGACTTGTGGCAGATACGATGATGAAACCTTTTATTTACACAAATGAATCTGACGATTGATATAGCAAAGTCTACAATTGTTTGGCAATTAGATATCATAGTGCATAGGCATAATTGTCACATTTTAAGAGAGTTTTTAACTATCGGATTCCTACTTCCGTCCGAAAGCAACGGAAGTAGGGATAGAAAGCAACCGCCTCTGAACTTTCTGACGTCGTTGTTAATTCAGGATCCTGATTCTGGACCCTGTTCCTCAACCATACCAACAGGACGTTACTTACGAACTTTGATTTTGACTCGCTTACAAATAATAATTAGATTTTTGAAAATGTCATCGAATATTATAAATACATGGGTGGACTGGAATTTATATTGAGCTCCAAAAACTGGTGTGGCGTAGATGTGCTTTTGATCATTATGCATTTTAATTGGCTCGTGTGAATAAACTTACATAATTATGTGATTTTTTGGAAATATTAACTACTTATTGTTTGACTGCACGTGTAGATTTTTATTATTAACGAAAATAATTATATCCACATTTGATTTGAATACGTACCTACGTGGACCTATTTTTGGTGACATGAGTGAAACCACGTAGCAGAACTAATCTAAGGTCCATAGAACAAAACAAATGCGGTCGGCCTTGAACATTGCGAAATAAATTTTTAAAGTCCGGTTTTCAAAACGTTAACCTTTTAAAATCAAAAAATAATCGAGTCGTTGAACACTGGGGCAACTAGACCTGATGATATTTTCTTCATAAATATTTATATTGGAACCGGTCTGTGGCGTATGGATTGAACCATTATTAATTTTTTCTTTTTTTTTTTTAAACATTGCCCCACACTAGGCCTTTCTCCTGTGTCGTGGGTGCGTTTACAAACATACAAGTTCACATACACATGACACCCAGACCCGAAACAACACTTTGTGGACCTCACAAAGTGTTGTTCCGTGCGGGAATCGAACCCGCGATACGTTGCACGGCAGCCGGTTGCCCAGCCACCGCACCAACCGTGCAGTCATTAAATACCTATATCAAATGTTGATGGAGTACAATATTGGAGGCAAAGTTGGAAATAATGTCATCGACATAGACTTTAACCTTTACTCTTATCATACTTTCTTACTGTATTGTGTATTCTATAGTTTTTGATATAATGTTATTAAAAGAGTTCTGTTTGCGCTCAGCTATCTCGATCATTTGGGACTTTAGACCACAAAAAAAGCGCTCAAAATAGACCAAAGACATTGACGTACATACTTGGTTAAATTGAGCAGTTTCAATTTCGTAAATGTCTGGTAACTTTTCCAGTTTGTTGACTAAATCGACGATATCGAAAATTTAAATCCGAAGTTTAACGAGAAACGACAACAAATACCACCTCACTCTCGGCCTCACCTTCACCAATACCAGAAGTCGACTTCTGATATTCTTTCTTTTCTTTTTTTAAAACTCGAGCCAGCCCAATGAAATTAAATAAGCCCAGTGAAGTATCACTTTTAGGGTTTTTTTATATATTTGATGGGCCGAAGTTTGACCACCTATCGCCTGGTGGTAAGCTATGATGCTGTCTACGATGGAGCACGTCGTCCCATAAGCAACCTTTTCACTCGGACCTTGAAGACTCCCAGGTTATATCCTTCAGGAAATACAAACTCTGGCAAAGAATTCCACTCTTTAGCAGTACGCACAAGGGAGCTTGATGCGAAGCGCTTCGTGCATGTGGGTTGGACATCTACCATGAATCGGTGACGCTCCAGCGATTGTGTTGTGGTAAGATGATGGAAAGGACTACAAATCAAGTTGTGCAATAACCCCGCACACTCACCGAAATGTATCCGATAGAAAACCGAAAGGCTTGCAACCTTACGCCTGTGTTCGACGCTTTGAAGCCGGGCACGCCTCTCAATGTGCTCTAACGCGTCCAGCTGATATTTAGCCAAGCCGTCCCAAAGACGAGAGCAGTAGTTACTCCATACAAGACCGAACCTGTGCTTAGTACAGGCTCAGCAATTGTTTCAGCGTGGTACCGTCTTACCCTCCATGGGTACCCAATTTCCTACCAGCCAGTTGCGCTTTTGACTCTATATAAGAACCAAAGTTGAGTGTGGGCGTCAGTGTTACGCCAAGAAGCTCAAGATGATCAGTTATCGGAACGGATACATTCCGGAAAGTAGGAGTCAGCGGAAATCGACTCCGTTTGGCGGAGAATTGACACGCCTGGGTTTTGCTAGCACTGAACTTGACCAAGTTGGTGACCTTTCAATATCTGTTCTATCATCTGTATACCCTAAGATATCGGGCTTAAGCAGGTCGTTTATGTACAGCAAAAAGAGCGTCGCTGAACGTACTGACCCATGAGCGACGCCGGCATTAATACCGAATAAGGTTAGGCTCTACTGTGCTTATTGTGACTTAAGATCATAATGGATTTTAAACCATATATAAAAATATACCTACAATAAAGTAAAATTAGTATAATCACGTTTATGGAAATAGAATTATAGAATTTCCATAAACGTGACCGTGACTATTCAAAATCGTTATAGGCCTATGGTCTCATGATGACTATCAGGTTTAACTGACGCAATAACAAGTTTATATATACATAATAATATTTAATAACTAACCGCTGAATATAAACCATAGTGTAGTTAAACAGTGAAATACGAAGATACTAAAATTCGTAAAAAATTCATACGGGTAATGTAATCGTCAAAATTCATACTTAATAGTAAGTGTGGGAGAGACATGCTTTGGCACGAATGGGCTCGCTCGGCCGAAGTCATACCACCGCCTCACAGAAAACCGACGTGAAACAACACTCGAGTGAGGTTACCGGAGGCCCAAGAACCCCTCCCTAATCTCACCAATACTCGAATCCACAATAGTCCTCAAATTCCTAATCCCTAAAAGCCGGTAAAGGAACTTGTAACTCGGCGGCGGCGATTGCATACCATCAGGTGACCCGTTGGCTCGTTTACCGGCTTACGCTATAAAGAAAATACTTACCATTAATCGAATTTCCTTTGCGTTTATACGAATTCCATGTTTATAATCTCAAGCAAATTCGATACACTTAATTAATTCAATTCCTAATCCCCAAAAGCCGGTAAAGGAACTTGTAACTCGGCGGTGCCGATTGCATACCATCAGGTGACCCATTGGCTCGTTTACCAGCTTATGCTATAAAGAAAATACTTACCATTAATCGAATTTCCTTTGCGTTTATACGAATTCCATGTTTATAATCTCGAGCAAATTCGATACACTTAATTAATTCAATTCAAACCTGATTGCAGCGCCATCTACACGGCACCGTACCCAATCACACTGGCAAAAATTAGTACTAGTAAAATTAACAAAGTAAATTGATTTAATTAAAAATGTCTTAGTCTTTAAAATAATAAATTATGTGCATTTTCTTAAAATTTTAAACAAGTTTCTTCATTAAAAACTGATTAATCCCTTCTATATAGATGGTGATGTACTGTTTCCAATCAATGTCCATAGGATCGCAAGGAAACGTCTGTCGGTCTTGTATGGATAACGAAGCATACAGCTTCCTCGAATTATCAGCCTTCATCACCCAGGAATGAGAGGTGAAATAACTTAGGGCTTTCTGGACCATGGTTAGTTTTGACTGGATTTTCATGTACCTGCAAAATATGAACCTTATTTTACTGTAACCGTCCCAGATTTTGAGATAGGTGAACAAAATTGTAAAGTCTTGTTCGTAATAAGGACAAAGTCCTCGTTGTGACATTCCTAGTTTTATTTATCATAGTTCCTAGAATTGCTTTCAGTCAAAAATAAAAAACTTTTAAGTCATCATAATACTCGAAAATAGGTAGCGCTGCCTATCATATAGCAAGGAATTTTTAGTAATGAAAATTACCATATACAACAGTTAATGAATACGTATATAAATGGTAAATCATGATAAAATTCTATCATAACATAACAGCGCATAACATATGCGCTTAATTCTATTATCTAGTCTTTTCATGCATGCTCGTCGGTTAAGGGTACTAATTTTAAGCCTTCTTTAATATATAGGTACTTATATAGTTGTCTAGGTACTACATTATTACATAATACATACCTTGGGGACTTCCCCGTAACTCTCAGGAACATATCAGCGGTGAAAGATGGCGTCGTTTGAAGAAAAAATGTCAATGTAGACAATGAGGGCTTATTGTTGGTGAATATTATTGACACGTTCTTATCTGAAACGGAGAATATTTGTTTTAATGTAACATTTCAGCTATGTTGTAACAGCTCCGACTTTTTGCTAGTTGCCTGAACGCCCTTTAGTCAACTCAATACCTCTCAATTGACTCAGTTGGGAGGTATTTTGCTGTCCAACGTTGAATCTGTGTTATTATGTCGAATATTATGTGTGGGAGAGCCATGCTTTGGCACGAATGGGCCGGCTCCGACCGAAGTGATACCACCGCCTCACAAAAAATATGCGTGAAACAACGATTGCGTTGTGTTTTGTTTACTGGAGACCGAATTACAACACCTCATATTTCCCAATCTCTCCAATCCCTGAATCTTGAACAAACCTCAAATTTCGAATCCCCAAAAGGCCGGTAACGCACTTCTAACGCCTCTGGTGTTCCAGGTATCCATGAGCAACGCAGATTGCTTTCCGTCTGCTCGTTTACCGAAACAAGCACCAGATAAGCCGGTGCTTATCCAATAAAAAAAAATCATTTAAAATCTAAAAACTGAATTATTTGTCCAATTTTTACTCTCGGGTCTACTGACACGGTGTACGAATTTCAAGGTTTTAATAAATTAAGTATCTATACGAGATATTTGTGTTAAAAAATATTACAGTACAGTTTGTTTCTTGGCGAATGGGACTACGAATAACAATTAGTCCACTCTGCTACGTTTGCTACGCCGTAGCCGATACATTTCCCACTTTTGCGTATCCTCGTAGCAACAGCGTAGCATTCATAACCAAGTTATTATCCTGCAAATCGTTACCTATAATATAAAATACCGTTTACAGCGGTATGCTTACCAAATTCGACATGATTCATGTGATTGATCAATTGCTTCAGTGTTAATGGGTTACAGCCACTGGAGCAGCAGTTGTAGACTTTTAAAGAACTGAAACTGTAAGCGAGAAAATTTTTACCATTAGCCTTTGAAATTAAACGACTTTTGTTAATAATTGATATATTACCACGACTCACAAAATCACACATAATAATATTAAGACAGCGTACATGTATTCAAGTTTTGCAACACGTGTATCTGTACAATTAATTCGTAGCAAAATGTAGATATCTGACGACGTGCTATTGAAATACTGTAGGCGCATCTTTCAAAATAAGCAGTTACTTTAGACCTTGCAGTAGGTACTTTGTACTACTAAGGGCCTGTTTCACAATCTCCATAATAATTGAATCTTGTATTCAAAATTCCCCAACAATCCTCGAACTCCTAATTCCCAAAGTCCGGTAACGCACTTGTAACGCCTCTGGTGTTCCAGGTCCATGGGTGACGCCACTTTACTTTAGTTTCAAACCGAAACCACTTTACTTTAGCCTTCTTTGCCTACTCTTACTCATAATATTATTTTACACCCACCTGGAACATCTAGCAGCAGCCACAATCGCAAGATTAGCGACAAAGTCCACTGGAATCAGGTCGAGGATATTGCTTCCTTCGCCAAGTAGCACTCTGTTAGCTCCGTTATAACTAGCTGTAATGAGGCCAGTGGCTCCGTTCCACGTGTCCAACCACCCTGGTAGTGGCTCCTTTAGTGAGGCAGATACTGGAAAAATGTAAATAAGGTTGTATCCAGCAGACATAATCAGAAAATGTTGGACTGGTTTGTTTTTGAGCTTGTCTATAGGATAAACTATTCGTACTCTTTATATTATCTCTTTTTTTTTTTTTTTTTTTTTTTTTTTTTTTTTTAAGGGGGGAAAATCATCGAATGACTGCCCCCGCCTGGGCGAGGCGGGAGGGAGTGTCAGACTCTTACTGACTAAAAACCACCCCGTTCCTTCTCCTGCACGTCGAGCCGGAGCCCCGGTTACCCGTTAGGTTCTCCGCGACTCCGAATCGGCATCGGCCCTATTGGGCCCCATCTGTGGTGGTCTGATGGCTCTTTGAGGCGCGCGCGGAACGCGACGCGCCGTACGCTCGGGTCTGTTTCTGGTCGGACGGGGAGCCACCCATGCTCGCCGTCCGCAGGCCCGCGCTTACGGTGGCCGGAGATCGTCCCGCGATCCCCGACGCCCGGTGTGTCCTTCGCGATGGCTGGGTTGCGAGGAGGCAGCGCTTCGCTGCCTCACGCGTCCCGCCTCCTCCTTAGCTAGCATGACTGCTTCGCAAAAGGAGGAGACGGCATCCCAATCCCCCTCGCTCCGCATCATGGCCTGCACTAGGCCCGGACGCGAGAGGTCGCCATCGCCGATCACTTCCCTGAGGACACGGCGGTGCTCAGCCCACGAAGGGCATTCTCCCACCGTGTGTTCCACCGTGTCCTCAGGGCGGTCCTCGCAGTGATGACACCCGGGCGTTTCCTCCCGCCCCATCAGACACAGGTACCTCCCGAAACTTCCATGTCCGGTGAGGACCTGCGTCAGGCGGTAGGTGAGGACGCCGTAGCGTCTCTCAAGCCACTCCTCAAAGAGGGGACTTACCGCTGCGATGGCAGCGAGCCCAGCCCTCGGTTGCGACAGTCGTTGCTGCCATTCCGCCATGAGATCGCGCCGGAGCTCATCCCGCCACGCACCTATCTGGCGCGGCAGCGGGGTTTCGCCCCGGCGACGTGCCTCCGCGCGCATGCTGTACACGCGCGCGAGCACCTTCGCCTCCAGATCCCACGGCGGTAATCCGGCAAGGAGGTTCGCCGACTCCCCAGAGATCGTGCGGTATCCGCGGATCATTCGGATCGCCATGACCCTCTGTGCCATGAGCAGCGTCCGAGCGGGACGCCGCAACAGGTTTGGCGCCCAAACAGGGGCGCCGTAGAGGGCCATGGACCGCACGACCCCGGCGTATAACCTCCGGCAGGAGGCGTTTGGCCCCTTTATATTATGTATAGGATGAAAACATCGTACATATTTTTATTAGTAAGATACTACTAAAAATATACTTGATGTTTTAGTTCTATTTAGAAAACTTTTAGATTCACGTAATTAAGTACCCAGGTAGAATTATGTGGCAAAAATATAACAGGCGATGCCTTGCATTATAACAACCATTTTTCTTAAATATTTTCTATTTTGTTTCATCTTATGCCCAACCCGCATTGAGCAGCATGGTGATTAATGCTTAAACCGTCTCCGTGTGAGTAGAGGCTTTGCTCAGCAGTGAGTATTTATAGGCTGTTGATGATGATGATGATATATATTATGACAGTAAATAAAAATATTTGCCTTACTGATAGAAGGTCGGATGATTATTGTAGGAACGTGTCCGCAGTTCTCAGCTATGTAAGTCTCTGCTAAGGCCTTAGCAAAGGTGTAGCTGTTTGGTTGGTGTTCTGTAAAATATAGGAATAAAATATAATAAAATGGTTAGGTAGGTTCAAAGTTGTGAAAATATTATGAAGAAAATAACTCACATGACGGAAAAAAAAAACATTTCAGTAAACAAAATCTAAAATTGATTTTTGGTTGCAATCTCATCCTTGCTTCTAACAATTTCCGCAGTTGTTTTTCAAGAAATTTGCTTTTCAAACTTCCTATATCTAACCTGTAGTTTCGATTGTTCATTTATCGGCCTTTGCTCAGTCAATAATTATCGGTTAGTCAAAACTTACTAAAGAACTCTTTGATCCTTTTCTTATTGTCATGCTGCGGCTGCTGAAGGAACTTCAAGACCTCACTGAGTTCAGCTGGCGGAGGATACACTCTCTCCTCTAATACTTTCTGGTCTGTGTTGCAGTAGGCGGTGGACACATGGATAAATGCCTGGAAAAATGCGAGTTGGAAATGAGAAAACCATAAATAGGTGTCTATTTTACCTAGATGGTCTGTCGAATGTTCGCTAGTGCGGCTGTAGGCGAGTCGAGCAAAGAGACACAAGCTCTCTGGTCTGGATAAAGTACTAAGAAATATCGTAGTACCTATAGTAGATTGTTCGCGTTACAAGACTAATGAAAAGGGTGGCTTGTTTTGCAACTCCTATAAACATTCCTATTATACATACCTACAGTAATGAAGTCATCCTAAAGACGTGAACAACTCCCTTAAAACCAAAAGACAATTAAAGGAACAGAAAAGGATACGCTATCCGCTATGGTATAATAAAATGCCGAAATGTCTAAAATATTTGGTTATTTACCTTTATTTCTTTCATTCGTTGACACAATTGCAGGACATATTTAGTCCCGCCAACGTTTGTATTTATGATCTCTTTCAATTCTTTGTGAAACTGGACATTGGCTGCTACATGGAATACTACAGATACCTGAAAAATACAATACAAATTCTTTATAGTACAACTCATTCAACCTTTAACGTAAACAAATATAACTATACGTTGCTGTTTGTATTTACAAAATAAAACTATGCGTGTATGTACAATACGCGGTCGTAGGTCGTCATCGCTAATATTATACTCGAGATAAATACAAAGGGGTTAAAATACAAAAGGGCTACAAAACTGAAAGTCCAAACGTTATTATAGCCAATCTAATAATAGAATTCCAGGCTTAGTACTGGATGCGCTTGACCATCTATAGGTGATCCTAAGGAATATCTAAGGAATCTAGGATTGTCTACTCTAGACAATCTACCAATAAATGCGATGTTCGTTTCTCTTTCATAACATAACATAACATCACGCCTTTTATCCCTGAAGGGGTAGGTAGAGGTGCACATTACGGCACTTAATGCCACTGTACAATGTAACACCCATTTTTCATTATTTATGTTATGAGTCCCATGTAATAGGGGGTTCCTATTGCCATATACCGGGCACATTTCCAGACTCCGTGTTACTAATGAGGTTTTTACACACCCAGTAATACTTTGCCCGACCCGGGAATCGAACCCGAGACCCCTTGTCTGGCAGTCGCACTTGCGACCACTCGGCCAATGTGGCAGTCTTCATGTTGTTCTCTTTCATGTTTCTCCTTTGTCAACGCGGACATAACCGATAGCTGGTTTCTCCTACCTTTTCTAAAAGTGTTTCTTCGTCAGCTTTTGATATGCCAAGACCAGGTTCACTCAGGTCGCCAATAATTGGAGTGACTTTCTTTACACACTGCGGGTCCTTGCCTTTCAATCTTGAGAAAAGCTGTAATTACGTGATAGGTATTTTTCACTTTTATTGAAATGATTAAAAAACTAGATTGTACCCGCGACTTCGTACGGGCAATCCCATTTTCTCCTGTTCTCATAAGATTTCCTGGATATTTTTCTATCATAAGAACCTTCTCCTGACAACAACAAACACAACAAAAAACATCAGCCAAATGCCATTCTCAAGTTATGGCGTGACAACGGGAAATGGGTTTCATTTTTATATACCTATGTATATAGACTATGATATTTTGCTAATACTACAGTCAATAAACAACTCAACTGATTTTCATAAACAAAGCCTTGCCAACATTACATGATTCTGGAATAGCTGAGGAAAGTTGAAGAAAATTAATTTAAATCTGAAAGCAACGGACGAAGGAAAGAAAAAGATATTTGGAAGCGTCCGTATCTAAAAGCATTAAGCTTATGGATTGCTATCGTAACTTACCGGTTTGTTGAAAAGTTCTTCAATTCTTTGCAGAGGAGTTTTCCCTTTTTTCTCTCTAATTAAAATGTAAATGTTTTCAATATCTTTGCAACTGAAAAGAAGTTTCTCGAGAAACACCTGAAAATTTCATAGTTCGGAGTTAGTATATTATCTAACCTCAAAATTGGCAGGTCACTGATAAATAGTGAGAAGAGTGCAGATTGCAGCAGCTCTTCAAAGTTCGGGTAGATATCCGAAGTTAGGGTGCCCTTACAGAAAGTCTTCTCAGCAGGTTAAAATTGATATCCTTCTTATTATTTTAATGCTAATGACAATAGTCTTATTAGGAAGAACGTACCTTACCAAGAAATCCAGTGACCCCAGTTAAGAAAATTGACTTTCCCGTATAAAAATCTGGTACTGAAACGTAGCTTGCCGGTCCACAACTTAACGTAACTTTTTCTGCATCATATTCTTTTATTTCTAAAAATAGTCTTCTGTTATTAGTTGCATATATTATTCATTTCTAGGTTAAATTAATATTATCTATTATTTATCTCTAAACATCGGATTATACACACTTTCAAAATGCCAAAATATGCACTAAAACATGGCGAAATATGCACAGTAAAAAATATTTACATTCATAATTTACTAGCTGACCGCGCGAACTCTGTTTTGCTTAAGAATTTTTTCTTACATAATAATTTCAATTTTTATGAGAGTAAACAAATAATACTTATTTTTCCAGGTTTTCTACAGCAAACTTGTGATGTTTATCACTTAAAATGGCCCTTAGACGTCGTGCGGTCGACGACATAATACAAAACGTAGGTATAAAAAATATTCAAAAGGACATAATCTGATGTCTGTTTATCTCACATATCTACTTTAGAGGGATGAGCCGTAAGAGTTATTATCCTAAAATCAATTTCCATAATATTGGATATCATCAGGCACAATATTAAAAACTCTGTTTTATATAAGTGTAATGTGAGAATGTGGTAAACATTCTCACTAATGCACTTTTTGACTGATCATTTTTAACTGATTGTTATTTTGTTATACCAAAAGAAAGATTAAAAATAGATAAGGAAAATACATACGTCTATACGTCATTTTACTTCAGTTCCACACAAACAAAATATTTATTATTATTATTATTATTATTGATAAATTTTTTTATTATAAATATTTACACTAGAACAGCACACTTTACACTGCGGAAACCAACGATTTATGAAAACATCAATGCGTTATAACGTTTATATATAGGTACCTACTACACAGGTAGGTACCGGTTTACTCCTACGCCAGTGACATTAATATGTACCGTATACCTATTAAAACATTCTAAATAACTTCGGTTCCCGCCGGCACCAAGGATTTTCATTGCACTTTTACGTTTTGGAAATTCTCAGTAATATTTGTTTCAAATCTTGCCACCTTGCTTGTCTTTGGGGCTATAAATCTAAGAAGTCTAGAATATAGCTCAGGTGTTATGCCTCATATTTGAGTCGGGATATTAGGATAGTATTTAGTTAGTAAGAGTCTCAGAATCAGCCCCATTATGGGACACCTAACACAATGTGTTATAGGTAGTCAGTTTTGCATTTAAAATGTTCTTTCTGACTTCTTCAGGGATTAACAGTGACTTCATGACAGGAGTCAGGAGTCTCCCTCTAGGTGTGCACTTTTCTTCCCAAGGTATAAGTGGGCATTTCAATGAGTTTTTTACCATTGAAACGAGAACGACAGTTCGACTCGCGGCCTTACATGATCTGCAACTGCGATGCACTATTATGAACTAAGAAGTTAATTATAACTGCAACTAATTATAGTTTACTGTGATTTTTTTGAAGGATTATCTACAATCTACAAGGATATGGATGAAGAAACATTTGTAAACCGGTGTATTGACGTCATCTTTTATATAGTTTGACGTCGTAGAGCGTTTGATATCTTCATAACACCGGGCACAAATCGCATCATGGAGGTTAGCAACCTATTTTTAAACCGACTTCCCAAAAAAGAGGAGTTTATCTATTCGACCGGTATCTTTTTTTCAACAGAAAACTATTCAAAGGCGCCTAACTCTTGGGAAAAAGAAGCAGGCTGTATGGGATTCTTAACTCACTAGAACTACCTTAGTGATTACAATTGGCACCTATGTATTAGGGGCACCGGGTTTGCTAAATAGAATATCTCATCTAGACCAGCGGAGCCCATGTTGTGCAACCATTGGTGTGAGGTGTGGTGAGGTCACTACGTTTTCCTTTAAGCCTCGCTGTGCAGGTTGCCACGTGACCACTGCACCACCGTCTTCTCTGACGTCACGGGGTAGGTGCCTCGACTCCCTACTTAACGCCCATCGTTCCAAAAAGGTACAACCATTATAAGCTTCGAACGACTGTACTGGCTGATTTCAGGATTACTGACTTATTCTATAACTCTCAATTTGAATTTTGGAAGTGCGCTCGATCGCATTCTCGCCTATCATTCGTCGAGATTATTTTCACAACCACATGGCGGAGTTCATTTCAATCTTTCCAATTGAACGTTACAGAATTAACTAGTTGCCTAGTTGGGAACAATCTTGTGTGATAAATTAATGGATGTTTAAACGGCTGTAACGGGCATATGAAATGTGTAACTACCTAGATAAATGCTTGCAAGTACCTGAATGCACTCGCTCACGACATAACATGAAGGTATTAGAAAATCCAAACACGAGGCCACGTTTTTGCAAGATAAAACTAAAGAATTCCCATTAACCGACGTTAATAGGCACCTAATAATCAATCAACCAATTAACTGAGATTAATTTATTATCGACTCAAAGAAACTTTTCTACTAAGTCCGTAGGTACCTATTCCGTGAAAAGTAATAATTATGTACATAATATTTGCTCTCTAATGATGATGATCTAAGTCATATCATACATTTATGTATGAAGATTGATCGATAAATCAGTACCTAATAATGATTTGTTTTGTCCGCGAACAATGTTAGCATTGTTTGTCTTTGCGACAAATTGCTTTAAAACAATAAAATCATAATATTTTATTATCTTTCATTAAAAGTCTCATTAAAATTACACAGCTATGTAGGTAATATGTAACATGTATTGTGTAGGTATAAATAAACTGCAATGTTGCCGCAGTGCAGAGGTTCTTTAGCTAGCTGCTGAACACATTTTGCTAATTCGATTCCCACGATCACACAAAATTTGTGTGATCCACAAGTACGTGATTACAATTACCTACACTGTGTCTTATGTTTATATGTACTTATTCCTTTTCCTGTCGCAGGTCTGCAAGAAGAAATCCCGGGATATGCAGTACCTATGTACCTGATGCTTTTAATTTGTTGTCCTCTGTAATATTATCTGCTGTATAGTGTACATGAAATGATAAATAAATAAATAAATAAAGTGGCAAACGTTTATGTAGAAAATAACGTATAAATTTTATTTCAATAGAAAAGAATTTGTGAGAAAAAAATGGTATTTTTTAAAATTAATTTTCACTTACGAGTAGTTTCTTTAATAGCCTTTACAAAAACGACGAACCATTTGCATACAATTTCGGCGACAGCGACATCTGTATTATCATTTATCACTGACTGGTCTCTAGCATTTGGTTCAGTAATTATACATTTATTTTTTATTTCTAAGGGATCTCCAAACGAGAACACACGTATAACATACACAATGATTTAATGCAAAAAACAGAAATGTTTCTCCAGTTACAAGAGACATTGACCACACCAGACACAACAGACCACGTCATACAAACAAAATAAATCCTAAAAATATTGCATAGCTATAAAAAATTCGAAAATACTCAAGGTAAAAAACAAAACAAACGATGTGAACAGAAAACAATGATAATAAAAAAAACAATAACTTAACCTGTACTTAGGTACTTCAGCACCATCAATAATAATATGTGGACCAGGGATTTTTATTTCCCCGGTATATTGGTGACTATATCAATTTTCGTGGAGGTACAGTCTATGCTACGATGTTATACAAGAGAGAGAGAGTTAGAGATCTTAAGCTGAGGTAAATGTATTTCAATTTGGTGCAACTTGGTGGTTTCAGCAATGGGCGGGGGTGACGAGGAACTTACGAAGGCACATTGATAGAACATTTATTTAAAAGATCTGAGCAGTCCTTTCCATTACTAATCAACTTGTACAGGTCAAGGATGGCGCGGCGAGAGTTGAGATCAGTGAATTTAAAATTCAACCTATCATCATAAAATCTAGAATTTCTCAATTTGAATCTAAAGGCCAAGTGGCTAAGGAGCTTTTTCTGAACTTTCTCGATTCGAGTGATGTGGACTCGGTACGAAATCGTTTACTATCATCTTTTTTAACTTATAAGTACCGTTTTTTAAGGGGGGAAAATCATCGAATGGCTTCTCCAGCCTAGGTGAGGCGGGAGGGAATGTCTGACTCTTACTGACTAAAAACCACCCCGTTTCTACTCCTGAACTTCGAGCCGGAGCCCCGGTAACCCTTTAGGTTCTCAGCGGCAACTTATAAGTACCGTTAAATAATTGTACTTATCCATAAAAAAATGTCAGTAGTAGCACGGAGTCTGGAATAGGGTCACCCCCTATTACATGGGACTTATAACATAAATAGTGGGTGTTATATTGTACAGTGGCATTGAGCGCTGTAATGTGCACCTATGCCTACCTCTTCGGGAAGAAAAAGGGGTGATGTTATGTTATGTTATTTTCACATACTTTTTTATGCAAAAGTATAAAATATAGGTACCTACCTAATTATCATATTTAAAGTAAATAAAAACGTGGGCACGTTACTGTACGTTATTTTAAATTATGGTTGGCATTGTCCCGGATTGTATTAGGTCCGGGTAAACACCACATGAGATAATTCTAGACTGTTTTTAATAAAACTTATAAGACTGTTTAAAGCGTTTTAGAAAACATTTGGGTAGTTAAGTAGGTACCTACACCTACATTTGATTCTGAACTCTGAAGCATTTAAATAAAATCCAAAAATAAAAATATTCTAGCAGATTCATCCAATATTTTTGGTACCTATTACGCAATACTTAACTAAAAATGCATCTATAAAAACTAAACAATAACTACGAGTATCATCATTAACATAATATGAACATTAAAATGACAGGTTGTCTACTTAATATCTAAATTTAGTGTTTATTAATGAATAACTAAACACTATAACATAAATATAAATACATACATAGTAATATCATCATAAAATCTAGAATTATTCAATGTCAACACTATACAACCACAATCGTAGCTGTTGAAATAGCATTATATATAGCATACATAGTAATATCATCATAAAATCTAGAATTATTCAATGTCAACACTATACAACCACAATCGTAGCTGTTGAAATAGCATTCAGAGCAGGGAATATTAAGGCAACTCATCAATAGCATTTAGTTCATTCATTAGGTAATGAATGAATGAATATATAGGTATATATCCACGCAATACGGATGCAATGGGCGCTAGTGTTGCAACTTAAGAGTACGAAATTTCACAATACCAATGTCGATCGATCGGAAATTGGATTCAAGAGTATCCAATTTCAAACTCTGATGGGTCTTCTGGTCGCGATGCGCGCCGTACGCTACGCTTGGGTGAATTGATCTACTTACAATTAGATGCTAGATATTATTTTATTGCCTTACCTATTCTTTAATTAGTATAAATATAGATATTACTATCACCACGGACGGCGCCCCATCGGGCTGATACCGATACGGAGCCGCGGAGAACGTTAAAGGTTACCAGGGCTCCGGCTGAAAATGCAGTGCAGGAGTAGGAACGGGATGATTTGTACCTACTGTAAGAGTCTGATAAACCCGCCGCCTCACCAAGGCGGGAGAAGTTATTCGATGAATTTACTCTTCTGAAAAAAACAAATGACGTCACGGGTATATGACACTAAATGTTGGTTATACCTAATTTATGTAAAATAAAGTCGTCTTAGTTACACTATTTAAATCGAATTGGATGAGAATTGGTGAGGAGGTAGCTTAGAACCAGAAGACGGAGATGGGATAGGTACTTTTCATTGATTACTTTTTTTACTTTATACCTACCGAAAATCACGAACGGGAACGGGGAAAAACAGCATTGCACGATCGAAGTCGTGGGCAGAAGCTAGTAAAGTAAGTAAGATAAAGCAATTTATATAATTATTTATCTTGTCTTTGAGTGTAGACTGTCTAGACTCCAGATTAACACACACCTACTTATCTGCGTTCATCAAACATAAATATTAGTTATGAAATACAAAACTACAATAGATAATTTAAGCAAAAAATAAATAAATAAAAGAATATGTATTTTTATTTAAATATATTTTTAAAACTAATTAATTGCATCGCATTAAAAGAGGTTTGACATTTTAACAATAAAATAACGAAGTTAGGTTTTAGTTAAGAGCTTAAACTACTATTTACTTGTATGTAGATAGATTACTTTATTATGTACGTACATAGGTTACAAAAAAAAATGATGTTCAAGGAACAACTTACAATGGCCAGAGTAAAACTTATCTCTTGCAGCCTTGCAGGATAATACATTTTTATTTTATTTATTTTTATTTATTAAAACTTTATTGCACATATAGTGAAATTGGCGGACTTAATGCCGTAGGCATTTTCTGACAGTCGACCATTGGGTGGTGCAGAATGTTAAAGCGGTAGGTGCAAAATTGTAAAAAGAAAGTATGAAGTAGATAACGAAGTTAAGGTAATAAAATATTAAAGAGGGAAGACATGATTGTTATAGTCGATAATACATAACTAAGGGTATAGGGTCTTAAAATGAATTATATAATAAATATAATATATCCCAAATATGCATACATATAATATAATACATACATATATAAATAAATGCAATACATAGACTACATATTACCACTGTTTTGAGTTTGCCACTTTCTATAAATGTGTTCCCGAACCTTGAATTTAAATGAACAGCGATTATTTGCCATTCTGATTTCCTTGGGCAGCGCGTTCCACAGAGAGACAGATTGAACGAAAAAGGAGGAGTGAAGATAGTCAGTGCGGTGAGTGGGACATTGAAGTTGACGGTTATTAGATGAGCGAAGGTATTTAGAATGGTTTGCGCATGTATATTGGAAGTAGGAAGCTAGATAAACAGGTGAAGAAGGAGAGTCGAGAAAAGAAAATAAAGTAGTTAACGCCCTTTGTTGCCTGCGCAGGCGTATGGGCAGCCATTTTAATTGCAACCGATGTGCAGAAACATGATCATATTTACGTAAATTGAAAACGAATCGAATGCAGTTATTTAGAAGACGGTCAATTTTGTTGAGTAGATCTGCATTCAGGTCGTAGTAACACACATCAGCATAATCGATGATAGGAAAAATCAGGGCCTGCACCAGCCGTGCCTTGGTAGTAGACGGAAGGAAGTTTCTAAGGCGGTACAAGCCTCGCAACGACCCAGTTACCTTCTGGCATACACTAGTGACCTGTGCACGCCAGCTCAATGTGTTGTCAATATGTAAGCCAAGATCCTTCACATCCTCACTAAACGGGATCGCCACATTATTGTACGAGACAGGCTGCAGCGATGCGACACTGACTGTTTTCCAGGTACGTGTGCTTCCAATGATTATGGCTTGACATTTGTTTGGATTTACTTCTATGCCGAACCTTTGTGACCAGTTGTAGATAGCAGCCAAATCACCATTTACTGCCGTGATAGCACTAGGTAAGTCATCCACTGCAGCCTGACAGTACAGCTGCAAGTCGTCCGCATACAGATGATACGCACACCGAAGTTCAGAAGTAATGAAATTAATAAAGATTGAAAATAAGAGAGGAGAGAGAATGCCGCCTTGAGGGACACCAGCCAGCAGATCACACCAACTTGAAGAATTATCGTCAAGCCGGATCGACTGCTGACGCCCCCGAAGATAGGAAGAGAACCAGTCCAGTGTTTTGTCAGAGATTGCAAGATGGGACAGGATGGCCAAAAGGAGATCGTGACTGACCATATTGAAAGCGTTTGAAAAGTCAACTAATACTAAAACAGTTACTTTGGTGTCCTCAATCCCTGCCCTAATATCGCCAGTCACTTTAAGGAGGGAGGAGACAGTGCTGTGTCCAGGTCGAAAACCTGATTGGAGAGGGCTTATTAAACTGTTTCCATAAACAAACCGTGACAGCTGCTTATGGACACAAGCTTCAAGCACCTTAGACAGGAAGGGAAGGATTGAGATTGGACGGAAGTGAGTGGGAAGAGATGGATTACTAACCTTAGGTAGTGGACGAACAAAAGCTTTACGCCACAAGGACGGGAACACTCCGGAATACAAGGAATAGTTGACAATATGGGTAATTGCTGGAAGGAGATAAACCAGGATGGACATGATCATGTCACGGGAGATGGAGTCACAGCCAACAGCTTTGGATTTAATGGAAAGGATTGTCTTACGAATCTCCTCCGACTGGACTGGTATGAAGTGGAAATTTTCGACCCCAGGACGAGGCAGACTAGAAATAGAAGACAAGGTGTTTCGCCTAGTTAGGTGATCCAGAGATGAGACAGTGGAAAAATGATTATTAAGTTCATCTAAGCCAATTGAAGAAGGAAGGTTAGCGGGTTGCGGTTTGCCGATTCCTAGAGTTCTCAAGAACTTCCAAATATCAGCTGGAGATGAAGAGGAAATGTTATTGAGAATGTGGCGGCGTTTGGCGTTGCGTACCATCTGATTACATCTGTTCCTCGCAGTTTTATATGCCGTCCAGTTCTCCTCTGTCCGATCCCTCTTGTGCTTCCGAAACGCGCGGTCCCTGCGACGCATAGCCGCCTGGATCCCTCTGGTCATCCATGGTGCCGGAGCACGTTTTAATCGGATCATTTTGACAGGCGCATGATGGTCGTAAAGGTTAATGACAGCTTTGTTGAAAATTTCAATCTTGTCATCAACCGTAGTAGCTTCCATTAGTGGTTCCCAGTCTATTCTGGACGCGTCCTCCAAAAGCTTCTCATTTTTACATAATTATTTTATTTTCAGCCGTGATCGTCTCACTGCAGAGTGAAGGTTTTCCCCTCCACTACTCACTGTCACTGTGCAGAGGCCAGAGGCCTTAGTACGAGTTAGTTTTAGTACCTGATTGGTTGGATTATTGGAGCCGGCCAATGAGCGTCGAACGCGCTTTCTGCCTAAAAGTGACATCTTAGGAGACTGTAAAATACTATTTTTATTAAGACATCATGGTTGTAGTACCTACGTAGGTTTTTTATGGTAGGTACTTAGTAGATGTCCTATTTTAAAAGGGACTGTCCCGTTTATAATTTCGAGCCTCGTTGTCCCCGAAATGAACTCTGGGACGCAAAATTCTCCCGTTAGCGAGAGCCACGCGATAATTTGAATATTCGATTCAGTGTCATAGCCAGTCATAGGTAGGTTTAGTAGGTACATAACTCGCAATTTTTTGACGAAGTACAGTAGGTATGTACTTAGAAAAAACTATAAGTAGGTACTTACCTACATATTTGTACAGTTAGTTATGTTAACCTTTTGTTGTGGGCAAAAAGTTTGTGTTTAAAGGACAGGTTAAGTATTTAGTAGCTAGATCCTATTATTGATAATAGGATCTAGTTACTAGCTAGGTACTTAACTAAATCTAAATAAATGAATGTCCCGTTTTGATTCAAAAATGGTCACGTTAGATGTAGCTACAGGGCGGCAAATGAGCAAACTCATCACGAGTGGATCATGGTAAGCAATCAGTGTCGCCCATAGACTTAAGTAGAGTTATAAATGCGATGCTGGCCTCTTGGGGATCTCTATATTTGAAGATTAGGAATTAGAAGGAGATTAGACCTCTTGCAACCTAATCACGCGGCGAAACACAATGCTTTAGTTGCTTGACGCGCCTTTTCTAGTAAGCCGCGGTATCATATAACTAGCTACTTCCGCGCGGTTTCACACGCTCTGCTCAGCTCCTATTGATCCTAGCGTGATGTTTTATAGCCTATAGCCACCCTTGATAAATGCGCTAACCAACACAAAAATAATTATTGAAATCAGACCTGTAGTTACGGAGATTAGCGCGTTCAAACAAACAAACAAACTCTTCCGCTTTATATAATAGTAAAAGAGTTTAAGATTCCGGTCAAAATGTACGAACAGTCGCATGAAAGACATGAATTAAACTTCAATAAAAAATAACGACTATGCCATATCGATGGGTACTTACCCATTAAGAAATCTTCTATGTGCGGTTCATCATAAACAGCTAACGGCCGGAGATTATAGCATTGTATGTACCACAATCGCATAGCATAAGCATGTACGTATAAACCACTACATTATATAATTATACCTACATATAAAACGCGCAGCTAGCTCCATTTCCTCTCATTTTTCAAATTGCTGACATGTACTTTGCGGTGCTCTGGCACGAAAACTTACTTATTAAACAAAAATAAACAATCTTTATAATCAAAATGTAAGTAGGTAGGTAGTTTAATTTTTTAGTTAACGGTTCTCTCGTAAAATGCACAGATGAAAAAGGTATGTCGTAAAAAGCTGTTTATGGCCGCATTTTTTTATGATGGAGGTCCGAGCGCATATACTTTTTTTTTACAAAGGTTTGCACATTTGTAGTGTAATATACCTACACATAAGTGTGCAAACCTTTGTAAGTGCGCCGCTCGGACCTGGAATGGAATGGAAATCGAAAAGAGCACATTAAAATGCACAGAAATGATGATTTTCATATCTAATGGAAAATATTTCAGGTAGAACTACCAAATTACTGAATTATACTGACTATACGCCAGTACACCAAAACTGAGTATGAAGTTATTGCGTGAAACGGGACGCATTATTTTTGACGTTTAAACAGTGTTGCCCGTTCATAAATTAAAATAGTTTCTATTATCAAAGAATATTTCTTCGCGGGTACTTCTAGATAATATAAAATGAAATAAGAAAGGTTTAGTTAAATATAGTTTCAATTTAATTTATGATAATTTCTAATGTTTATTTTACTTATTTGATAAACGATTAGATGAAAAATCAACTACAAATCGACTTATCAACATTATTCGTACAATGGTAACCTACCAAATTAGTAAATAAGTTTTTTATATTGCAACAATAATGTGATCAAAATTGTGAATTGCTCTCGGGTGTTTTTATTTATTTTGAACAGGAAATCCTTGCATAGTATGGCGTAAATCTAAAAAGCAACTTATTTTTGTTCAATTCGAAGTGTATTTTCGTTCGTTGTGAGTCCTGTGTGCTCAAAATGTCGCGATCAAGCTCCGTGGAGGATTTACCTGAACAGTGTAAAGTAAGTTACTCGAATGCTTTTCTTATTATTTATTATTCTTTGTCCGTAAATGTACGTCGTGACCTTTGCTCACGTTCACTTGTAACAGTCTGTTGGATATTTGTAAACAACATCTGTAATCATGGGGTTTTCGTTCGAAGGACGATTTAAGCTATTGCGTCATAAACAATGCTTATTTTGTATTATTACGGCTATCTAGCAAATTGCCGAGTACGTTTTATGCACGCTTGTGCGTTTCACATACGTAGTCAATTAATTTTGTTGCGGGTAGTGGTTAATAATAAGTAGAAATGTTGTTACCTATTCTATAATCTGAATTTAGAAGTTTAAGTATCTGCTTAGAATTCTAGAATGCCGAAACATGATTTCTTATTCAATTTCCTGTGCCAATAAAAAAATAATACAACTTAAAAAAATACAAAACGGAAAATGCCTCAGATGATCATGTTTCTCTAGATTTAAGAACTTATAACACCAAATGACTGTAACAGATCCATTTAAGAAAAAAAAAATATTTTTAAATTTGTTTTCCCACTAAGATTTACTTGTAGTTGTGGGTACATTTACAAATGCTTATTCTGTGTATGCCACACCTGCACAAAACCAAAACAAAGTTCTTTGTGAGAATCAAACTCATAGAATCAAAATATTTATTAGTATAACATGGGTATATACATACATAATGGTATTACAATAAAAAAATAGTTCGCTATAATTATGTCGCATACCACATGCAGTAGTCAGTTGCCCAGCCAGACCCACTGCATTAACCATGCAGTCAATACTAGTAACATTACCTTCTGCCAGCAACATCATACATACAAACACATAATTCCTGTGGGTCAGTTGTGGTGGCCCGGAGGTTTAAGACACCCGCTTCTCATGCATGAGGGTGCAGGTTCGAAACCTACTAACGGCAAGTACCAATGTGACTTTTTCCGAGTTTTATGTACTTTCTAAGAGTATTCAGACACCACTGACAAACGGTGAAGGAAAACATCGTGAGGAAACCTGGACTTATAATTTCTAATTGTAAGTTTGAAATCGCCAACCCGCAATGAGCAAGCGTGGTGATTGTCAGTCATGCAGTAATGGAAGCATCTGTACAGTTCAAAAATATTTAAGTGTCTGTTTGGAATATTAAAATAACTTTTTACCACAAACATATTATGATACATATACATATAATACCAAAATTAAACTGTCATCTCCTTTTATTTTAGAAAACTGTAAAAAACGTTTAGGTATGTCCTAAAACTCAAATGCTATGTGGACAAAGTTGCGGACAACATGTATAGCTAAAGCAATGACACCAATTCAGAATTCCAATTCAGTAAAGTCAATAATAAGTATTCTGTGTACATTTTCCTTATATAAAACTTTTGATAAAAGTTATCTCTGGCATGCTTTGGTTGCTAGTGATAGCAATGAAATTAGATTGATTTCTGTTTATTTATATTTGATCAGATAATGTTAGCTGATATATCAAATAAATATACCCCCCCCCCCCTCCACAGGATTGATAAATATTCTGAAATAGTATATTAGTTTCAGGTGTAGGTAATTGAAAATGTACTTAGTGGGTAACCATACGGTTTTTTTTTAAACATGGAATTCCTCATTGACACCCTTTGTCTAGACTCTTGACGATGTGCGTCGGACTCTTACCAATTGAAACCACACACTCTATCCCTGAAAACAATGACAAATGTACACCTGTATATATATTTTTAACATTAAGTATTACATTTCACTACAGACCTTCCTTTGTAATAGAATTAAAAAGTCAACTACATACCACAACAAAGATAGCAACAAAAAAGAGTGTTACATACAGACCAGATTGGTGATATATTAAAGAAGGGCCGAATTAAAAGTACTCTTAACCGACGAGCATGCATGAAAAGATTGATGACTGTTGATGTAGCAAAAGAGGTATGTAGGAATCGTAGTAATTGGCGTTCCATAGTCTCTGCCTACCCCATTGCCTACACCCCCGGCATAGTCACTGCCTACACCCCCAGAGACAGGCATGTAGTTATGTAGGTATACATGTAAAGAGTGCCACATAAACATTCACTTTTATAAATTAATGGATTTTTTTATGGTGAGGTAAATTAATAGATTTTTTTTTTGCTAAGTTTATTTAACTCGTCGAGTACCGGTTTTGTAGACACAATTATAGAACAATAGGTTGCGGTCACCGGTGACCGCTTGGTGTTTGACAGTTTAATGGTTTTTTTTAATGTTTATGATAAAGATGTGTGATTTTAGATAATCCTTAAAAATATAAATAATAATGTATGTGGGTAACATAGCCATTGGAACCTTAGCATTTTGACCTCTAGTCTAGTTCAAGGAGAATTTCATTCCAATTTTTATATTGCGATACACACACATGACAGACTAGACGAGCATTAGTTAGTAATTCATAGTATGATGTCATTTCATATCCCCACGGACTGTGACACTTGTGTTAGACTAATCTGATGTTTTATTAAAATGACTGGCTGCATATCAACAGGACTTTAAACTATGTGGTACCTGGTTGGAATAAATTGGTTAGGCAACAAAGTCACAAATTGTTATATTTTTATCGTAAGATAGGCATTTAAAAAAATGTACTTATAGTATTGTATTAG